GTGATTATTGGATTTGATATACCTTGCTCCCTGTTGTCAGCAGCTTGTAAACAAATTCCAAGCCAGGATGCAGCAGCCTTTGGCGCAGGGGTACTTGCCGGCTTTGCCTCAAGTCTGAGCTCTCAACTTGCATTGACAGCGCCTTGAACTAGCTGAGCTTTCTGTGGTTGGTTGCGATGCATGCTTGCGCTGTTTCAAGACATTACAACCCATCAAGATTGGACCAAACAAAAAAGCCAAGGTACGGGTTTTTCTGGCTCAGCAGGTGCGGCTGGCTTTTCCTTGCACAGCTTGGGTAGATGTCCTATGGAATCCAGACTTCTCTCAAGAAGCAGCTCCAACGCTGCTTCCCAGTACTTAAGCACACAAAGAACGCCACCACCCCCTTTCATCTCATTGGCGGAAGGCAGCTTCAAGAACCTCCAGCAAACCACCCATACTGCTACGCACCTTTTCTTTGGGCTCCTCTCCCAGCCTCGGTATGGACTCTCGACTCGGCACCACGTGATTTCGACGGGCAGAACCCACGTGTTTTGCGGTGTTTTTTTGCAACGTGATTTTGAGGATGTTTGGAGCGACATGGACATGACACCATTGAGGAATCTTAGCCAATTTCAATTGCAAAACACATCGAAACGCATTCCTTGAAGTCGCAAATTTGGGGGGGTCTTCATGAGTCTTGGTTGGAGGCCATCGCTACTAGGGAGCCATCGTTCTTGGAATGGAGGCCATCGTTCTTAGGTTGGAGGCCATCGCTACTAGGGTGGAGGCCATCGCTACAGTAGCATCGAGATGCGCATCCTTTGACCTTTCGACCCTGACGCAAGAGCTCGCTGAGTTCTGTGGCAGAAAGGACCGCAAGTCATCACCAGCGCGAACGGAAGATCTGCAGCGCCCCCGTACGCCAGCCTGCAGCAGAAAGTGTGCGGTGCAAATTCTCATAATGCAGAGAGAGTTGATTCACACATGTTGGCTATCCCCAATCGGTGTCCAAGCCTTAGGTATACATCACCCCTACCGTTTGTGTTGCAATCCCCCTATTGTTTCCCAAAAACATGTACAATAAGAACACGAGAGGTATGTGATGATACTCCTGACTCCTGACCAGTTTCAAGTCCTTTCGTTGGTCATCCATGACCATCCCAACCTTTCATGGTGGCCTTGTAAAAAGGCCGCCTATGTCTATGTTTCAGAGTGATCTAGGACGTTAGGAGACCGAAGCATCTGAAGCCAGGTGAGCATGATGGCCACATCCATAAGACGGTCTCCATGGGACTCCAACACTGACATGTAGGGGGAAGGCGCCGGGAGAAGGGAATCTGCAGACTTTTCCGGTAGTATCGTGTGTGGATGAAATTCGCCAGCGGGCTGCCAGCGAGGTTCTACCAAGGAAACTCCGGTTCTACAGAAACACTCGGTGAGCTTGTTGGGGGCAAGCGGCTGTGCAAACCGGAACTTACTTGAGCACTTGCAGCTAAAACTGTCTGAGCCAAGTACAGGTGTCCGGCTGCCCAAACAACAGCTCGGCGGCCGAAAATGACACTTCTTGCTTGCACCACTGGTTGCACCAGGTGCTTCCTGCTTGTGCCATGCTTTTTCGAGATCTGCACATCCCCTTGTGCATGCTTGTGATTCCGCCCGCAGTGGCAGACTAGTCTAGGTCTCGCACTCGAAGTCCCAGTGCCAGCGAGACAATGCCAATGGCATCACTTCGAGAGCGAAGAGATTGAGGCACCTGAGGTGCTACCCTAACTGGTTGGGAAATCACAGCGTTGGGATCGATGCGTCTTGGGTTCTCCCTAACTGGTTTTGGTGGTGTTTTTTCAAATCTATGTTTTTGGGAGGGTAGGCATCACTCAAAGGCCAAAATATGTTTGCAGCTCTGAACTTGAACAGACTAATGATAGAAACATGTGCAGGTAACCGCGAGAACTATCCAAGAGTATAAATGTATGTATATAATGCAACTTAGTTTTACAAAATCAATATTTACATGCAGGGCAGGGTGGTGCATTGGTGACCATAAAAGAGTGGCAACCCTCCCATGCCCGAATGCTGTTTTGCTTGATTGTTTCTTGTGCTGGGACCACTGGCAGCGGGACCACTGGCAGGTTTAAAGCACATCGGAACATTGGCAAATTCACTGGTTCGCCCCTCGCCCGGTCTGGGGGTTCTTGAATTCGATGATGGAAGCCTGATGACCGTGCCTGAGAATTTCACCAGTGCAGCATTCATGCAAAGGGTACGGTTGGAGTCAAACTGCAGAATCATCTTGCTCTCTAACGCTGGAACTCAGCCCAAACACTTCAACACTCCCAGTTCTGAGAGATTTCTTCAAACCACAATCCTTCGAGTCCTAACCAAATGCTCTCTCCAGCTTCGGCCGCCTGCGCGCTTCGGCTCGCGGCGCCGTGGCGCGGCTGCAAGCGCTGCACGTCGCGCTGCACCGTTCCGGCCGAGAAGGCCAGGCGCGTCGCGAAGGGAACACCTCCGGCCACGGGGAATCCGGTGAGAGCTTCAGCAGCTTCCGGGGAACCCGGTGCCGTGGTGAGTCGACTCGCCACGTTCGTCGGATCGGGTGAGACTGGAGGTCCACTCTCCTGTGGCTAAACGAGAGACGGATCGGATGAGAGCTGCCGAACTGGTGCCATGATGTGCCATGATGTGCCGAGCAGTGGTCGTGGTCGGTCGTGGTTTTGCTCTTTGAAAACAATGTCTTCAACCAAGCGCTGGAAGGGAAGTGAACGGAGCAACATGGGTCTGCCGATGCCTGCCGTGCCTAATGGAGTAACCAGGGTCTGTCTTGAGAATACAGAGCCTGGGTGTTTTTCTGAGCCAATACAGTCGGAAGATTCGGACAATAGAGACCAGTCCTAGTAGTTGTTGGGCAATGGATGGCAATGGTCTCTCCCCAAATACACCAACTGTACCAAATTCAGGTCACATCTCTCCAAGCCAAGCCCGAGCGCCGGCTTCTTCAAACGAAAGCCCATGTCCATCGGAATATGACTCCCGATGTTCATCGGAACCCCATCACGTCGCTTCCTGCCCTCCCTGCCTATCTCCATGTCGATCTCCCCTGAGTCCCTAAGACAAAGCGCCCCTGTGGCTTGAGCCGGCACTGTCGTCGTGTGCGGAGTCCATCGCGCACAGTCTTTCCGCAAGCTCAAACCGACGCACTGCATGGTTTATTGAAACGTTTCGTGCGAATGGTACAAAGGAGAAAGAATCGAGAAAGAATCTGCATTATGGAAGGGTGCAATCCTGGGTGCAGCCCAATAGAAGAAGAAACGCGAGCTTGGGGGGTAGACAAGCTTCCTTTTGTTCACATCGTTCTTTGACCTCACTTGCAATCATCGGCTGTTCTTGATGTGTCTTTCCCAGGATTTGGTGACCTAACTCGATCCTTTCCGTGTCGGTGCAGCGCAGAGCGTCTCGGACCACGAACCCGGCTCCCACCGCTGGCCAAGCTGCTCGGACTGGTCATGCCATGGCAGACCTCAAGGCGCCATAGCGGATCCAGTGATTACATATGATTCATACAATACACAGTACTGTCCCATACCTTCCAACGGGTATGTGGCATATATATTGAATACTGTACAGTACCGCCTATATATATATAACAGATTGAAATGATCAATCCGTGTTGTGGATGAATCGGATTTCGTCGTTCTTTGAGGGAAGATGGAGTTTGTCACGCAGCGTCTCTCTCTCTCTCTCTCTTTGCATTGTTACACCAGACCAACCGGCGGCAGTAGAAGTGGCGGTGGGCCGAGCAAGTCCACGGGGCAAGAATGCCGTTCCGTTATCAAATCACTTCTGTGCGTTCAATTTGGGAGCAAGAAATGTGGGTCATTCTGGCCTCAAAGGGGACTGGACTGCGGTGACCCATGACAGTGGTCAACGAAGCGGAAGATTGGCTCGTGACCACAAGCTCAATGAGCAGTGTTTATGATTGGCTCGGGGCCATGCCACAAACAACGATGCTCAAATGGTTTTGGATCCAAATGGATCGGATCTGGGGGGCAATTTCTTTCAATCTTGGAGATGCAAAGTCTCCGCTGCCTTCGAGTTTCCGCTGCCTTCAAGTCGTGGCCCAGTCTATACACGCATGTAATATGCATGTACAAAAGCAAAGCTGAAGGATTCCGGCGGAGTCCAAAACTGATCAGTCACCCCTCACACTTTGCCCCGAGGACGGTGGAAAATCTGTATACACGCCCTCATTGGGCCCCAAACCATAGCCCTTCTGATCTCACACGAAGATAGCCCTAGGGCCGGGGTGCGCCATGTAGGCAATGGCACCACCCGATCTTGCACCGGTGCCGGTGGAATTCCAGACTACATGGCCCTTGCAGTGCGCGTCGCAGGCAGGGTCAAAGGACCAAACGTGACCGTCTCCACCACTGGCCACCAAGATCCGTCCGTCACCCTGGCAAAGGAATCCTGTGTCCCCCTTGCCTCAGTTGGAATTCAACGCAGTCAACAAGCTGACCATTTTGGCAGCAACAGACTTGTAGCCATTGTTCCCCTAGGTGCTTCCGCCTCTATACCTGCTACCACCGACTACTCATGACCGGTCTGTAATAGGGCCAGCTAGGGCCAGGGTAAAACATCGACCTACTTGCAACCCTTGCAAGTAAAGCAGCTGCTCCAGGAGCTGAAGCTGCCCTCCTTCAGCTCCACGATGCCTTCGTCCAACGTCACCAGCAACTTTCCTCCAATTGAAGCGATGCCCAGGGGCCACTTCAAGCCCTTCACCACCTGAGGCGTTGAAACTCAGACCTGGGGGACCTGGGCGCTAATGGGACAACAAACCAAAATCTTGAAAAAAATAGATAGATGCCCTTTTCTAGAAGATCTAGAAGGGAATATATATAAATATATATACCATATTAATATATATATATTTTTTTGTACAACTGGATCTCACATCTCATTATTTACATATATAGAATATAACATACATCCCCCATGAAAATCACATGGAGGGATCAGTCCTACCCATTCTTTAGTGATTTCCTGGGGAATGATGAATGTCAGCTCCCTAGAAAATGAGGAACTCAGCTGCATGAACCCGTGATTGGCATAATCTAGTGAGTCACTAGAAAATGACCCCAAATTCCAATCACACCCTTGGACCCGTGACTGGCGCGTCTTCTTTTTGAACCCGCGCTTGGCATTTTCTAGTAAATGCTCTGGTGCCTTGACGTGTGATTGTCATTCTTTAGCGGGTCCTGCTTTGATCCTGCTTTCTCCCACATCATATAAATGTTGTGAGGACGTCCAAAGCAAACAAAGCATACACGAGCTAAGTTGATTGAACAACAGCTACCAAACTCTGTGTATGGCAGTGTCTGAGGATTTGGGTGTACCAGGTGTTGGTCGAGACACCACAGCCACTATAGAAAATGAGGAACACCCCCTAAAGACATAGAAGCCATCATTTTCTAGTGAATTGGTCTGGCTG